CGACAATATTTAAACGCCGCTGTGAGTCCCCTTGCTCTCGGCGCCCCGCGCCATCTTCACCCGCTGCTGTTGCCGGTTCAACTTTTTTGGACCGTGCCTCGCTCGAGTTAGACATTGGCGCGGATGAAGTGCTTTCTCGGGAGGTGGAGAAGCGCCCCACATGGCCAGGACTGGCGGGGCCCGCGCGGGCACGGGCGCGGGCCGGTCGGGGGCCGCGCCGCGCACTTCGGCGAGCTGCGTCACCCCGGAGAGGGTTGAGACACAGCGCCCTCGGACAATAGGCGGGCAGGGGGGGTCCTAGAGGGCCCGGCGCTAGGCGCCGGGAAGCGGCTGGCGAGAAATGATCGTCGATCTGCTAGAACGCAAGATCCCGAGGAAGCCCCCGCGGCGGGGAACGCCTCGGGCCCAGTTTCGCCACGACGTTTGTTGCAGGGGAATGCTCCGCGGGGGAACGCCTCAGGCGCGCAGTCGCCACGCTGGGCGCGAGCCCCCCTGCCGGATGTCGTCAGGCGCGTGGACTTCGGGGCCGCGCAGCTCGGCGGCTGCTCGGGCTTCCCGCCGCTGCGCCACCCCTTCCACGGGCAGCGGCGACGCGCGCTTGCTGATTAGATCTCCAGCCGGCCATGGAACTGGTTTCCCACGCTGCGCGTCAACCAGGGGGGCGGCGACTTCAAACAATGGGTGGATTGGTGTATATATTCTGCCGCTTGTGTCCCACGCTAGTCTGGGCATGAGAAAGTTCTCGCCGCCTTGCCGAGAGGCGCCCTTGGTGCGCGCCCCAGCAGCTCAGGCAGATGGAATCTAGCGTTCGGGCCATGTCTGGCAGGCCCGTGCTCTTCGGCCACTCCGCGCGAGCAGCTTCGATTGCGCATTGGCGCGGCCTGGCCGCTTCATGCTGCTCGGAGGCCGCTCGCTCTGCGCCGGTGCCGACGCGAACGCTGTCGCCGGCGCGGGCGGATTGCTGATATGTCTCGCGCGCGCGCCACTGAGCTGGGCGACGTTTCGGGCATCTGGATGGCGGCCAGCATCGAAGGAAGCATCGGTGGGGCCCAAGCCTGGCGCGTCCCAGCACGACCGACGCAATGTCAGGGTGCCGCGCAAAGACGTGCTCCAGGTGGGGAAGGCGCTTCTCCGAGCGATGCCGGGGGCGACCCGCCTGGCGAAGCGGAGGGCAGTGCTGACCTCGATGGGTTTCCCATTCCGTCGGCGGAGGACATCGCGACTATGTATCTGGAGTCTGAACCTGGCAGGCAGCGAGCCACTGGTCTTCCGCGCGCAATGAAAGCGCTTTTCGAAGATGAAATCATGGGCGCTGGAGAATGCGCGCGCCGCTTCGGCTCGGTCTTGGACGTGGACGAGTGCGTTGCCGACGCGCCGGCTGGTCTTGGCCTCTCTCGCGCGGGGGGAGATGGGAATCAGTCTGTCCCGACAGTTGCGGCTCTTAGTTCGGCTCCTTCTGCGATGGTTGATTATGATGATGGTGGGGTAGTGGCTAGCGACAGTGAGCAGGTGGGGGGCGATTGCTTCGACCAGCCGATGGCGTGGTGCGGCGTCGGCGCGGTCTTTCTTAATGGCTCAGTTGGCGGAGCGGCCATCCCAACAGTGGGCGATGGTGTTACCAGCGTGCCGGATTGTGATCCGACGGGGGCGGGCCCCCCCCGGCCTCTCGTGCTGACCCTTCCCATCGTCTTGTTGTGGGAACTCCTCCTCGTGGCGCGAGTGGCTCTCCTTTGTCTCCCATGTCCGTTGGGTTTCCGACGGGGGCGGGGTCTTTCCCCGCGACTTCTCTTGGACCAGATGAAACGTCGAACTCAGATGAGGACAACGACGTGGACAACGGGGTTTTGGCCGCTCCAGACGGAAGACCATCGTGGCCGATTCTACGGGCTGAGAGCGCTGCCGGCCTTGATTCCAACGCTGATCTCGACCCTGCAGTTCCAGCTCGCGGCGCAGGCCGCGCAGCCCCACAGCTTGACCAAGTTGGTGAGGTGGCCGCGCTAACTGGGGAGTTTTCTCCGCCCCAAAGCGCTGACCCCCGGGGCTCCCGCAGCAGCGCGCTGGTCGACGATGGCGATGCGATGGCACCTCGAGATGGGCATGAGGGCGCCGCAAGTTCGCAGCCTTCTGGGCCAGACGTGCTCCTGTCTCTCCGCCGTCATCGACCGACCAGTTCAAAATGTGCACGCAGATGGCGCTGGCCGTAGATGATGATGATGATGCTTGAGCTCTTCTGGACGCGACGCACATGCATGCTGCACTACTATAACAAGTGACACAGTATGACAGCTTCATGCAGGTGGCCAGAGAGGAGGAGGATGGAGTTCTCGCAGGTCATGACGGACTTTGGTCGTCCCGCTGATGGCGACCTCGCTCCTTGGTCGCAGGCATCATGAGCATCACCCGCATCCTTCGGGTCATGGTGTCCGTCCCTTTTCGCTTGTGAAAAACGTGGACACCGACGGCGTCATGGGCGTCATCGCCGGCTCCGCCGTCGCCGTCGCCGAGCACTCGGGCGAGGGCTGGGTCGACAAGTCGGGGTCGCCGAGTCGCCCCCGAAGCAGGGCTTCGCGGGGGGCGCGCGCAGCGCGCACCGCGCGGCCTAGGCGAGCCGACATTGGACCTCTCCGCGAGGCGCGGGCTTCCACTCCTTCTGTGAGATCCGGCGTCGCGAACGAAATGCATAATCGTAGAAATCACGACCGGGGCCCCAGAGCCGACCTTTCTTAACGCATTTTTCCAGCCGGATCGATATGTGAGGCTCCCAGGGCTCAGGAATGATTGAAAACGCCAGCTGGAAAAAAGCCTCGCTTGTACCTCATGGTCCCTCCTCCTCCCCGCTCATCCTCGTTTTGCTGTTCCTCCTCTTCTTCCTCCTCCACCTCATCCTCTTTCTCCTCCTCTCGCGAATACTCTTATCCTCTCTCCCCTGGTGGCGTCTGGGGGCTGTTCGCCCCCCCTTCCGCGTACTAGTTTTGTACGTCGGATTTCTGGGAGTTTTGTTTGTCTTTCCAAGTGTTGCTCTCGCTGAAGCGCTGATTTCATTTTCGGGCAACCGCTTGTTCTGAATCGTGCTCCCGCTGCAGTGCTGGCTTCATTTCTACGCATTCTTTCCAGCGCAATGCCAAGGCATGTCTTCCGGTCCTTCCAAGTAGGTTCCAATATCTAGAACATGCCCCCCACGAAAACAACAACATCGGAAGTGATTACACATTGGGTGCCGAGTAGTTGATTTTTTGGGGGCCGCAGAAGCCCCCCCTTGACTTTGGGGCGTCGCCGCGCCTTGCTATGTCAGGCTACGCGTCCTCATTTCCGCACTTCATCGCTCTTTCTCTTCAGAATGCCGCGCTCGCTGAAGCGTTGGCCTCATTTTCGGGGTACCGCTCGTTCCGAATCGTGCTCCCGCTGCAGCGCTGCCCCCATTTGCATGTTTCCGCTCGTTCCGAATCGTGCTCCCGCTGCAGCGTTGGCGTCATTATTTCCAGCGCCATGCCACGGCCTGCCTTGCGGTCCTACCAAATATGCCCCCTAATCTAAACAAAATGCATCCCGAAGAGACCATCGGAAGTGATTGCACATTCGGTGTCGATTCGTTGTTTTTGTTGGGCCGCGGTGGGGGGGCGCCACGCCATGCTATGTCATGCGACAGGTTAGTTTTCAACACCATTCTATGCCATGTGACTCGATGCTATGCTACGACATCCGATTGTGCGAATATAGAGGGGATCTGGCCATGGTAAGGGATGGGAGGGGGGGTAGGACGTCAGATATGACGTGAGCGCACCTAGCTTGTCCGCCTCCTCCTCCTCCGCCGTTTCCTCCTCATCATTCTAATCCTCCTCCTCCTCCAACTAAAAAACCTGATCCTCCACTTCTTTCTCCTCCTCTTCCTCCTCTTCCTCCTCCTCCTCGTCCTCCTCCTCCTCCTCTTTTCCTCATCCCCATCTTCATCTTCACTCTCTTCCTCGAAACACATCCTTCCTCAACTTTGTGTGTGTATCCTTGTTGTCCTTGTCCTCCTCTTCCTCTTCCCCCTCCTCCTTCTTCTCCTCTTTCTCCCCCTCATGAACATCCTCATCCTCATCCTCTTTCTCCGATTGAATCCTCCCCGTCCTCTTCTTTCTCCTCCTCCTCCTCTTCCTCCTCCTCCTCCTGGTTCTCCTTTCTCTCCCCCTCGCCCGGACTGACGGGTCGTTCCTCCTCCCTCCTCCTCCCCCACCTCCTCCTTCTCTTCCTCCTCCTCCTTTTCTTCCTCCACCTCCTCCTCCCCCACCTCCTCCCCTTCCACCTTTTCCTCCTGTTCCTCCTGTTCCTCCTCCTCCTCCGACGCCGACGGCATGTATATCGCCGTGGGTTATATTCGCTGCGACAGGCCGCACCCCGAGAGAGCACGAGATAGTCGTCGCTCTCAAGTGAGGGCCTTTTTGTTGTATTTACCAGAGGTGGCACCGCTCTGCCGAGATTTGGTGGCTCCCATCCCCGCTTGCAGTGTCGCCCTCTTTCCGCCGCTCGACCAGTTCGTCCGCTCGTCCCCGTTGCTTCCTCTGTGTAGCCCCTTCCCCTGCTGGCGGTAGCCTGCACCGGTGTAACCGCGCCTGTCGGCGCGACCCGCTGTGTGGTGTGCGCGCGTGTGTTTTTAACGGTTGTGCCATTACGTATAGAATCATCACGCTTCACCAGCCGCCAGGCTAGTCCATCTCGCAATTCTCGTGCAAGCTCCGACGCATATTTGTCCTGGTGAATCGGCTGCAAGACAGTACGCAGATGCACCCTTATGTAAGACGTATCTCTTGGTCTGATTCGCATCTGGCTGCCGAGCTTCTTCACCCTGGCTGTAGCGGAAACTCCCTGTCACGACTGGAAAACTCTGCGCACTATAAATACAGAGATGATGTGCGTTTCCTGAATTCAATTCGAAATCTAGGCCAGCCGACGGACTGATATGCACGCGAATCGACAGGGAATGCTGCGAAGCATCAGCCTACCTCCGCGCCCCTCCCCAGGGCAAGACGAAGACCTTCGAGCAGAAGGACCTCGCCGCGTGCCTGGCGCGCGTGGCGGCCCACGCCAAGGAGGGCGCGGCGCCCAAGCCCGACTACTCGGACCCGGGCGCCCTGAGCGCCATCCTGGCGAAGGAGGCCCGGGCGAAGGAGCTCAGGGTCCCTGCTCCTCCCTCCTCCTCCCTCCTCCTCCCTCCTCCTCCCTCCTCCCTCCCTCCTCCTCCCTCCTCCCTCCTCCCTCCTCCTCCCTCCTCCTCCCTCCTCCTCCCTCCTCCCTCCTCCTCCCTCCTCCTCCCCAGGGGGGCGGCCAGCTGCTGCAGCTCTGCGGGCGCGAGGCTTCGAAGCTTCGAGGTCCTCGGGCGCCCCCGTCGGTGCCTGGACGTCGTGCTGCCACGGGGTGTGATCCGGCAGCTGCGCCTCGCCGAGGGCGTCGGGGTCCAGAGCGGCCGCCGGAGGCCCGAGGTACACTGAGCGGCTTGAGTAAGGAACACTTACTTTTCAAAAGGGGCTCGGTCGTTCCTTGAGGCGTTACGTATCGTTCCTCATGCGTTTTTGTATCATGTATCGTTCCTTGTGCTGTGTTCCTTGGAAAACAGGGGCTTCGTTCCTTATTCATCGTTCCTTAGGTCAGGCCGATGACTGTATGGCCCGAACACCGAGACCAGTCAACGTCAAGGGGGGATGGGCTCTCAGGGGACGACGCATCGACCCCCAATCGGCCATTCATCGCTGATGGGGGCCAAATAACCCGCCGCGCCCAGGAGCGCGTGGACGCGCTATCGGGGGCTGAGTCGCTGAATAGATCGTCCATGTATCGCCGATACCAGCTCGGTGGTTCCCCCCTCGAGCCCGTCCCACCCGAACGTTCCCCATCAGGAGCTGGACGCCATGTTGGTGCGGCAGGCAATCGTCGAAGAAGAAACAGTGGCACAATTATGAACTTTCGGAGCTCCGTGTGGATTCATTGGATCGGCGCTGGCCCCCCTGGCGGCGCTTCTGGCGCCGCCTCTGGCGAACGCGCCAGGGACGGGGGCCTGGCGCCGATCCATGACATCCGCGAGGACCGCCGAAAGTCTACGTTTATAGCCAAGACGCTCGCTGAAATAAGGAATTTCCGTAGGTCCTTCCATCGCTGTTCCTCTGGCCCTCTTCGTGCACGCAGGAAGCACTTGGGGGCGAGCCTCGTTCCTTGTTTCAGCAGCCCGCCTGTACGCCGTTTCTTTTTTACTCGTGGCAGGTGTCCCACTGAGCGCAGGCCCGAGGAGGTGGAGCCACGGCCAGGGCGCTCGTCGCGAGAGGCCCCGAGGTCCACTGAGTTCACGAGGAGCTCCTGGCGGCGACGGCGGCAGGGTAAGCGCGGGGTGTCAGGAGCTTTTGGAGACTACTGAGCTTGCGTGAAACGTTGACCTCCTCTTCTTCCACCTCTTCCTCTTCCTCATCCTCTTCTTCCTCTTCCTCTTTCTCTTCTTCCTCTCCTCCTCTTCTTCCTCCTCTTCCTCCTCGTCCTCCTTTTCCTCTTCCTCTTCCTCCTCCTCCCTTCAGGGACGAAACAAGAACGAACACGTACATGCGCGTTAATGTCGAAAGTGCGCGTTGCTCGAACGTTCGTGTCACGAGGCTTGTCTGAGGGGGCGGGTGGCCGTATTCATGCACGTGGTTGGGCGCGTATGTCTTGTGTGGGCTCCCTGTATTTTTCCTCCTTTTCCTCCTCCTCTGCTTCCTCTCCTGTCATCCCTCCCTATCCTCCTCGTCCCTATCTTCTCCCTACCTGCCCTCTTCCCCCTCCTCCTCTTCCTCCCTATCCTCTTCCTCCCCCCCCTGTCCTCCGACATCCAGGATGGCCCCCTCCCAGGGACAGCCTGCGTCGCCCCGCAGCGTTGTCCTGGCAGCCCCGGGCCCCGCAAACGGCCCCCAGGTCTCGAACTTTGAAGAATACGTTGTCTGACTTGTTCGTTGAAGACGTGGGAGGTCTTGGTCCTCCCACTCCCCTTCCCGCTTCCCCCGACTCCCTGGACCGTATCTCAAGGCGGATCCAGCCGCGGCCACGACATGACCCGTCGAGGCGCAAACAGAAACAGGTCGACCCACGAACCCGGAAAGGAACACATACATCTATATATATATATATACACATGTAAATGTCAGACATGGCAACGTTTTCAATAGATCTGCATGGGCGACGGTCAATTGCAATGCTAAGTGTATCGATCTTGATGTGCCGTGCCAAGGGCTATGCTGTGCTGCGCCGTGCTGAATTGGGTATTGCCATGCCTTGATTGTGCTTTGCAGCGTTGCGGATCGGGTCCTCCTTTACATCCGAGTGTTGACCGAACTGATTTGGATCTGAAGTTCTAGCTGTCTGAGCACATAGCAGCTGCCCCAGAGCTAGTTGAAGTGGAAACGTGCGGGACGTTCAGTCAACTCGACCTCAAACTCCGACACAGCTCCGAAAAGGAACCACACGACAAGGGGCACAGGCTCACGGACGGGCCACAGGATGTGCCAGGGGCGCAACAGGGGATGCGCCAGGGTGCGTGTCAAAGGACGTGCCTTGGACGTGTCAGGGACCTGCCACGGGACGTGCCAAGGCGCGTGCACGGGGCGGCCAGAGGACGCCATGCCAGGGGACGTTGCAAGGGGCGCGCCACGGAACGGGCAGGGGAAATGCCCGGGGATGAGAGAGGAAACGCGACAGGGGACGAGCCAGGGCACGTGCCACGCCGAGTGGCGTGTTAGGGGACGTGCCAGTGCACGTCACGCCAGAACGTCGCAGGGGACGCGCCACGTGACGTGCCAGCATTCGCTCCGACGCACTCTATGGCGACAAGCGTTTCGCTCGAGATCGTTTCAACACATCCTCATGCTAGACATCCGCCTGTGTGAATTGGACACGTGAAAACAAGCGTCTCGTTCGAGACGTCCTCAACACATCCTCATGCTAGACATCCACCTGGGTGATTTGGACACGTGAAACCAAGCGCCTCGGTCGAGACGTCCTAAACACCTCCTCCTACTAGACATTTGTATGGGCAGCCTGGACGCGTGAAAATAAGCGTCTCGCTCGAGACATCCTGCCCAAACACTCCTGCTAGACATCCGCCTGGGCGACCTGGACAGGTGAGCACAAACGTTTCGTTCAACATATTCTCAAAACATCCTCATGTTAGACATCCGCCTGGGCGACCTGGACACGTGAAAACAAGCGGTTCGTTCGACCCGTCTTGCCTACACACTCATGCTAGACATCCGCCTGGGCGACCTGGACACGTGAAAACAAGGTTTCGCTCAACACATTCGCAACACAGCCTCATGTTAGACATCAGCTTGGGCGACCTGGACGCGTGAAACCATGCGTTTGCTCGAGACATCCAACACATCCTCATGTCAGACATCCGTTTGGGTGACCTGGACACGTGAAAACAAGCATTTCGCTCGAGACGTTCTCAACATTTCATCATGCTGGGCATCAGCCTGGGCGGCCTGGACACATGAAACCAAGCGTTTGCTCGAGTCGTTTCCAACACATCCTCATGCGAGGCATCCGCCTGGGCGATCTGGACGCTTGAAAACAGGCGTTTCGCTCGAGACGCTCTCAACATCTCCTCATGCTAGACATCCGCCTGGGTATTTGGACACTTGAAAACAAGCGTCTCGTTCGAGACGTCCTCAACACATGCTCATGCCTGACATCTGCCTGGGCGACCTGGACGCGTGAAACCAGCGTCCCGCTCGAGACGTTCTAACCACCTCCTCATACTAGACATTTGCATGGGCAACCTGGACGCGTGAAGCCAAGCGTCTCGCTCGAGACATGCTCAAGACCTGGGCACGTGAAAACAAGCCTTTTACCAGAAACATCCTCTGCATTCTGATCCCCAGGAGAGGAATGATCTATAACACTAAACAAGCGTTTCGCTCGAGACACCCTCAACACATTCTGCAACACAAGCGTTTCGCCCAAGACATCCGCAACAAGCGAACGTGTGTACTTTACCATGTGTTCCATCGATCGGTATTATGAAAACCAGCGTTTTGCCTGAGACATTCTCAGAATCTGACTTCGCCGGCTTTACGCGACCTTGTTATTATCGCAAAGTGGTTTCGCCGGCCCTACGGAAGTCGAGGCCGGGGGGGGAACAGCTAAAAGAGATCCTTGGGCCCGCGCCCTTTCTGGGAACATGATCGACCCACGAACCCGGAAAGGAATATAGAAATGTAAGGCATTGTGGTGTTTCAAAGACACCTGATTGGGAGACGGGCAAATGCAATGTTGAATGTATCGATCTTGATGTACCGTGCCGACGGCTGTGCATTGCTGCGCCGTGCTCAATTGCGATGTGCCATGCCGCGAGTGTGCTCTATAGCGTTGTGGATCGAGTCCTCCTTTGCATCCGAGTCCTGACCGAACTGATCTGGATCTTATGCTCGAGCTGCCTGAGCAGATAGTAGCTGCCCCAGAGCTAATTGGTAGGGGGACATGCCAGGAGGACGCGCCGCGGAACGTCCCAAGGGACGCGCCAAGCGAGGTGCCAAGGGACATGCCATGGAACGCACCGCGGGACCTGCCAAGGGGACGCGCTACGGAACGTGCCAATGGACGTGCCACGGGACGTGCCAAGGGACGCGCCGCGCGATGTGCAAGGGGACTCGCTACGGGACGCGCCACGGAACGTGCCAAGTTGCAATGCTGAGTGCATCGATATGGATGTTCCGTGCCGAGGGCTGTGTTGTGTTGCGCCGTGCTGAACTGCGATGTGCCATGCCGCGATTATACTCTATCTAACGTTGTGGATCGAGTCCTCCTTCGCATTCGAATCCTGACCGAACTGATCTGGATCTTAAGCTCGAGCTGCCTGAGCAGATAGTAGCTGCCCCAGAACGAATCTACAGAGGGGACATGTCAGGAGGACGCGCCGCGGAACGTCCCAAGGGACGCGCCAGGCGACGTGCCAGGGGACGTGCCATGGGCACGCACCGCGGGACCTGCCAAGGGGACGCGCTACGGAACGTGCCAATGGACATGCCAGGAGGACGCGCCGCGGAACGTCCCAAGGGACGCGCCAGGCGACGTGCCAGGGGACGTGCCATGGGCATGCACCGCGGGACGTGCCAAGGGGACGCGCTACGGAACGTGCCAATAGACGTGCCGCGGGACGTGCCAGGGGATGCGCCGCGCGACGTGCCAGGGGCACTCGCCACGGAACGCGCAAAGGAACGTGCCAAGGTGCAATGTTGAGTGTATCGATTTTGATGTACCGTGCCGACGGCTGTGCTGTGCTGGGCCGTGCTGAAATGCGATGTGCCATGTTGCGAGTGTGCTCTATATAGCGTTGTGGATCGGGTCCTCTTTGCATCCGAGTCCTAACCGAACTGATCTGGATCTTAAGCTCGTGCTGCCTGAGCAGATGGTAGCTGCCCCAGAACTAATCGACAGGAAGATCTGCTAGGAGGACGCGCCGCGGAACGTCCCAAGGGACGCGCCAGACGACGTGCCAGGGGACGTGCCATGGGCACGCACCGCGGGACCTGCCAAGGGGACGCGCTACGGAACGTGCCAATGGACGTGCACCGCGCGACGTGCCAGGGGGACTCGCCACGGGACGCTCCGCGGAACGTGCCAGGCAACATGCCAGGCTGCAATGCTAAGGGTATCGATATTGATGTAACCAGCCGAGGGCTGTGCTGTGCCTGGGCGACCTGGACACTCGAAGACACGCGGTTCGCTCAAGACGTTCTCAGCACATCCTCATGTTAGACATCCGCCTGGGCAACCTGTACACGTGCAAACAATCGTCTCGATCGAGACTTCCTCGACACATCCACATGTTAGACATCCGCCTGGGTGATCTGGACACGTGAAAACAAGTCTCTGGTTTGAGATATCCTCAACAAATCCTCATGCTAGACATCTGTTTGGGCAACCTGGAGGCGTGAAACCAAGCGTCTCGCTCGAGACGTCGTCAAGACCTGGGCATGTGAAAACAAGCATTTCACTATATCGCAAAACAAGCGTTTCGCTCGAGAAATCCTCAACAGATTCTGAAAACAAGCGCTTCGCTCGATGTCATTCCGCTGGCCTCCTTCAAACTGTCATTTACCGCAAAATAATCCAACCGGTCCCTTCAAGTCGAAACCAGAGGTACAGCACTAAAAGAGAACCTTGGGCCGACGCCCTTTTCAGGGAAAACTTTCGAAACGCAATGACGACGACGCCCCGTCGTCGTCGTCGTCCTCCTCCTCCTCCTTCTTCTCCTCCACCTCCTCCTCCTCCTCATCCTCCTTCTCCCCCTCTTCCTCCTCCCCCTCCCCCTATTCCTCTTCATCTTCCTCTTCCTCTTCTTCCTCTTCCTGCTCTTCCCCCTCCTCCTCCTCCTCCTCCTCCTCCTCCTCCTCCTCCTCCTCCTC